GACATCACATCAAGCATCGGCATATATGCGATTTACTGTATTACTCGATCAAAACACATACATTTGATTTATTTTCGAATTCTTACTTCAATTTAAGGTGCATTTCACCAGTTATAATTATAAAATCCTATATATTATGGTCTAAGAACCTCCAGTGAAATACCGGCTATCATTTGAGCTATTAGTTATTCAAATCGGACGAGTTTCAAGCAAACGCAAAGTAAACAATTAACATAACTTTTTATAAGGTATTTCTATGATTGAAAATCAATACCTTCAGTATTGTTTAGGTATTTTTATATATTATCGACTCAAAATAATCAGTAAATTATAGGCAATAATTTAAGCCATTGATCATTTGAATCCGTTAATTTCAAGATACTGTATTATTCAATCAAAATCATAGATTTGAATATTTCTCGGATATTACATTACATTTATTTTAACGCTGCGGTGTAGCATGGGTAATCTAGTTTAGTTTTTATTTTAATCAGTAGAATAATAAGTACTGTACAACTGCTACCTTAACGGCTAATGGGGTTCTATTTGGTATCAACCATACAAAATCAACACACAATATTCATCCAGTAACTGGTGACACTGGGAAGGTGCATCGACCGCTTTGCTACCCTCCTGCAGGTAATCGGGGTTGAGATATTCGGACTTCAAAATATTAACTGTAAGACATGATCTAGGGGTTGCATTGGGACGGGTCAGTGTTAGGTCTTTCGTGGAAATTAGACGGGTGAATGATTAGTCCTTCCTGGAATTAGGGACACCAAGATAACTGCGCCGTACGAGCACTGCGCTGTACGAGCACGCGCTGAAACAGCACGACACCGAGTCATCAGCCCCAACCCTAGTCCGAGGGTCATCACCCCTCTAGACACCAGCCGATTGGACCAAGGAATACCTATAATTCACACTATCACCCTCTCTTGCAACATTTTTATGGTAACAATTCCAACACTCTCTAGGAGTAGAGAAATACATGATGAAATACAATTCCTATCTGTGGTTTTGTAGTGTGTTACGACATAGTTAGTGCTGTTCTCACCAAGTTTTACAAAGTGTTAGTCTAATTTATTTATTTATTAATTCGCTTAAAACGTTCATAATTATTTGCAAATCTACATGAATTAAGCTTTCCAATGACCAACTAATTAATAAATCGGTCCAGTAGAACTCTAGATTTAGTTGTACAAAGATTTTCAAAGTTTAATTATATATAAGTAGATGCATATTGCACAAGAATTCCATCACAGTTAAATGAATCTTTAATACAAACTATATCTAAAGCGGCTAAATATAAATTTAAACTAATAACGTACCTACTAAATAAAACCACATTCAATCAACAAATCAATTTAGACGATAGACGGACTTTGTTAACATAAATGTTTTTAGTTGCTTAGTTTTAAGAAGTTATCAGGCAGAATTTTACACAAAATAATACCGACATATGAAGGATTCTTTTCAAAGAACTTCAAGATAACTTATGATAACAAAACACAGTTTTTAGGTCTGTTGTTTATCCCATAACTGTTACATGAACCTAACTTCTCAAAGGAATAATTTCAATATATTTTATGATCTTTTTAGAATGTAGATGTAATTTTAAAACATTTATAATTTATTCACTTTTTCTCCAAACTTACTCGTTTAGGAGCTATATCATGCTAAATGTAACCAAAACCTACTTTAATCTAAATTGTACACGCTGTAACTCCTTTACGTAGCTTTATAGAAAGAATTAAACTGAAAACATTTTTAAAATTACAGTCTAAAATCGTCATAAAATACAAGGTGTCCGATAAGAAATTTTAAGTTAAATTTTGAAAATATCAGACTTTAAATGAAGAGAATTCATATTTTTGAATGTCATAAGATAGTAGTTGAAATTCCCCATATAATGTTTTCTCTAAATCGAATAGTTTCTGAGATTGCAAAGGAGGTACATTTCAGTTCTTCACCCTGCATATTCGCAGAATACTAAACACTGAAACTGCTTCTTTTCAAGTATTTTAATGGGATTTAATCTCATTGATGCGTTGTAAACTGTGCCAAATGTTATTTATGTATTATTTATCTAATCTTAGGTCATGTAAGGAATATTCAAATAGCTTAAAATACCTTAACATAGATATGCCTATACTTTTTAACTTGCGATTACGTGATTTTGGACACAAAATGTGCGTTTTCTTATGCCGTAAAAGATGGTAAAATTAATTTTCACAATTCACGGTTGTAACTGGAGTTGGAGTTATAAACATTTATTTAATATCCAAAAAAATTATAAGTACATCTTCATGGTTATGACTCATAGGAACGGCCACGGCGGGAATTCCAGGAACTGACCCTACTGGTGGCAAATGACACTGGTGGCAAACGACACTGGTGGCAAATAGTAGGACACCGATAGCTGTTATCCTAGCATCTCAGTTTCCCCACCCGCAAACTGATGAGAACCTTTTCTGCGAAAGAGTGAGGGAGAGCCTCCCACGTCGATTTAAGAAAATCTTTAAATTTTTTTATATTTTAGATAGAAAATTAACTTTTTTACTATAAAATTAATTTTAAAATATTTAACTATAAAATTAAACTGTCATAACCTAACCTAACCAACCAAACTTGCTGATAATATAAAAAAGATATAAAATCAAAATCGAATGAAGGTTTACTTATAATTAATTTTTAATTATAAAATTAATTTTAAAATATTTAATCATAGAATCAAACTGTCATGCACTTATCTTTTGGTTTGTGCTCCCTCCTGCAATCCCAGAAGAGATTTGTAATCCTCGAGACCAACGACGTGGTTCAGAGTAGACACAATTCCCTTCCTTTCGTTTTTTGAGTGGAAAGTACTCATAGTCTTCTTCCTTTTTGATTCAATCCCTTACAGTAGTGTGTTGTAGAGTATGACCCCAGTTCTACTCTTTAGGTCGCTTTAGGATTTGGAATAATCCTTTGGTTTTAAATCTTGACCTAACATGTTTAATTTAAATTCTCTTAACTAAGGTTTTCTCAGTGGCGAAAAATGTTAATTTTGACATAAATAGCTGTCAATTTCCATGGTTACAAAACATGATTTCTTACTAATATTTACAGAATACGTTTTGTCGAAGAGAATATTTAAATTTAAACCATTAATAGGAAAGTGCGTTATTGCATACTACATCATTTGTTTGTCCTGCTTTCCCTTCAATTTAAGTATCTCCAACGTCCCTACTATTCAAAAACATCCTAACCGCAATCAAAGGTTTATGTCTTTTAGCTATAAAATAAAAGGAGGTAATTTTATAGCTTTGTTCTATAAAAGTAACGTACATCTGAAATGGTCTATTGTGTTTCTAAAGACACATTATGATTTAATCTAAGTGCGTTTCTCTGAGAAATGCTAGGTCGTAGGATCGTAGATAAGATAATCCTAAAACCCAAACCCCGGGGCTTGTAATTATAGCATGACTTCTGACCGAAAAAGGGCAGGAAATCGAAAATGGGTTTTATAACCTCGAACGTCTCTGACGAGACGCGGGAATCAACATTCCTGGGACCCTTTAACTTGTTACCTTGGGTCAAGTTGTCAAGGTCATCTGGAGGTGGGTCTATTTATCATTTATCATTGTCTTCGAATGTAATGTCCTTTTGAGACTCCGCCACGTAAACATAATCTAGTGGTTGGTGGTTGTTGGCTGTGCGTGTGTATAAGACCTGCACAGGTGTGCAATAAATTAAAATTCTTGTCGTCCAATAAGTTTCAGCGTGATTCCATGAGGGCATTTAAAGGTAATTTATGTGGTTAAACAAATACAAAATAACAACAATACCGACACACCACCTTCACTGACTGACTGATTCACTCTCCAAATCTCCTCATCAATCTATCACCAGATTTTTATAAATTAACAAGACGAGTTTGTTTTGTTATTTTTTTATTTTATATTTTAGCCTAGAGCACTGAAAATTTAATTGCAATCAAGCCAAAACTAAAAAAAAATGTAGAAAACGTTTCAATTATTAAATTTGTTACTCAATTAATACAGTTATAATTCATGCATTATTTATTAGCTTAAAATACACTCCCGAGTGTGCGTCGCTAACTCAAAGAGAGTTGATGATTATTTGTATGATTAATGGATGATTTCACTATTTCTCTTGAAAGTTATTAAAAAAGACTTCTTCGGATGTGGCTGATCGAGGAACTTGAGGTTAAGTCTTCCGTAATTCAGGTACTCCCAAGAGTACGACCATAGAAGAAATAAGCAAGGAAACAATAGAATTTGCTGATTATTTATATATGCTACGGCTACCTGAAATGATGTGTTTGTTAACACCACACCATAGCTCTCCAGTCCATAAAATCGTTGCAAGAACCGTTGTTGTAAAATTTTAGCACTTATTGGGCTCGTACTTTAATATCAGCTGATTGGTTTATTTATTTTTTTCTGCTGTCAGACAGTTGTAATGATTGAATGTTTTGTTTTTGTGATTGTACTTTTTGCATTTTTCAAAAACATTTTCTTTGATTTAAAGTTTACTAAGTGCATGCTCGCCAATAGTGCAATATATGACAAAATACTATACATTTCTTAAGTTAGCTCTGCCCGCCGTCTACAACTCCAATTTTCATGGATTCCTCTCCCGACTACAATCCAAAACTCGTCAAATTGAAGATTGAAACCTGAAAACACGAAAGAAACCCAGAAGATGATAAGAAAACCGGTTCACCCCCCCCCCCCCCAACCCCGTGGGAGAGTATCGAGCAAGACATAGAATCATAATTTGAAATAATAAAGAGCCAACTAACAATTTCCAGCTGAAAATGACAAGGTGCGTGTAAAATGTTAACAGTTGTCTTCTTGGAAGAAAATCGCCAACGTCTGGAGATAGAGCGATGACTCATACAAGTGGGGGATTGTACTAGAGGGAGAGGGAGACTCCCCTCCCCCCTACTGTTACTGCACCCACCCCTTCTCTATTTCATGATCCGATTCCATAGACAAGCCGACGCGCCGCGGTACGAACACGAGCATTGTTGTGAGTGCGCTGCCATCTTGATTGGTGTTTGTTTACGTTTGTGTTTACTCTTCAACCTGTGGCGTCCACACTTGGTAAGTCGCCTCTTGTTTATCTTCCTTATTTGGAGTGCCCGAATTATGTTTGTTTAGTGTGAAAGGTTTTTGTAACTACGAAAAGAAGGTTTTATTGACAGACGTTCATCCATCCACGCAAAATACAATCTTAGGTATTGAATTAGGTTCATTAGGTATTAAATTTCCCCGTGAGATTTAATTTGTATTTTGATCGTTTAACTACCGATAGTTTAGAGGTTATCTGTCATGGTGTATCATGTGTATAATTAGGATACTACACCTTATCATAAGTAGGTGTCATATATTACTTTTAGTTTTGTCATAATGAGTAATACACCTGGATATGTTCATACTCAAATCTCAAAATCTCTTAATCGTAGAAACAATATAAATTTTTATTCATTTTCTAGCTGAAACTTCGTTTATTGATGGGCTGCTTTATTAAATGTGTTTTGCCTCAAGAGTTCGAATTTTCAAAAATATAGCCTAGGCATACAAATAGGATATTTGTAGGCATAGGAAAATTCAAAATTATTGCTTCAAAAAGGGCTAGGCCTAGCCTTTAAATATTGTGTGTAGATTTCTAAAGGATAAATCTGTGAAAAAGTTTGTTTTAACTACTGCGTTGACAAACATTTTGTTCAAAGTTTCCGTAGTTTTGTCAAAGTCTTACTAAACTATTACATAGGAACTTAACGTAGTGCAACCAGCAAACCCGATGAATACAAATGTAAAATGAACCTTTTAAGCTACTTCTTTTAACTCCTGTGTATTCCAACATTAATGTACTTTATCATAGATTAAAATAATATACATTTACTACTATATCAACTGTACAATTCATTAAACCACCAGTTAATGAATTTAATTTTTTAACAAACGTATCCGATCTTTCAATGATGAGAAATTATTTCAATTTGGTTGAAAACACGTGTTTGATTACTCCCGACTCTCTATACCTTTGATGTGAATACATGAATAAATGGCGTTGAAACGTCGATGAATACGTATATAAATAAATACTATTTTAATTTTATTAAACTTTTGCAATAAAGCTATCTCTTTAGTTGGTGTGATTTTGTATGCTAAACTTTACCCTTAACTATTACAAAATGAAATGGAGTAATTAGAGAGACCCCACGTAATGATAACACACAGTAAGAGCTAAATTGATTTTTATTTTGTAATTATTAGTTAAGCAAGCTATAGATGGTTGGTGGATCGTAACTGGATTTGAATCTGATAGACGATAAAAAAAGGTATCCAATTATGTGAACGCTGGTCCAATCATGATCCTTGAACTTGACCTCAGTTGACCTTCATCACGACATGAACATCAAGAATGTGTAGAAAGTAGAAGTTTGACTTTTACTTTTACACCTTCAGTACTCAGTAGGACAGTAATGAAGTACCTATGCGTACTTGCACAATAATAAAACCTGGCGTTGGTAATATCATGGCATTTTGTAATAAATTAATAATTTGGTCGTTGGACAGTTCATAAATTAAATAAAATGTAGTAAGAAAATAGAACACCGTATAAATACAAAGGAATTTTAAAATACATAATCGGTAGCTGAGTGGTTATGGCGCACAAACAAATCATGAAGTTGCCGGTTTGATCCTGAGAAAATACCATAGATTTTGATGGTACGGCACTCACCTGTCGTTTTGAGCTCCTAATAATTGGCCCAGGCAAAATAACCAGTTTAACTTAGCCAGTAACAATAAGATGTCGTCCCATTCATTCATTCAACACTCATCATTCACTGGGACATCACTTTAATACCTTACTTTGAAATGGCGACCATGCGAAAGTAGGTATAAGCCAAGTATGAATGGATATGAGTGTAGTACGAAAGACACGATCTTTTAGTCTCGTTAGTGACTAAGGCCACAGAAAACATAGTAGTATGTTTTCTGTGCTAAGGCTGACATATTCCTGAGACACAGCTGTTAATTAATAGCCCATTCCCCATACAGCCAATATCAACTAAGGGACCTATAGTTTATAGTGAAATCTGAACCACATTTTCCCTTGTAATTGTCGAATTGGTCTAGTTATCAGGATAGTGCTGCGGATAGTCGTAGTACTCACTAGTGCGGATGTTAATTCACACCAGGGAGTACCACATCCACAGTGCATGTCTATAAATATCCACAATTCGTGATCTCCTAGTCAGAGTCAGGGTTCTGTTCAGCTGGATTTACAGGACGACGCCACCGTCCCAGTCTCATCACCCTTGAAGTGCCAGGGTGATACTCTCATCGTCGTATAATCTCATTTTTAAACTCATGAACGCATGAAATCAACACAACGTTTTGGGAATATTCACAGAGTTGGTTTTGTATGTGACACATATTTAATTTGTCAACAAATCAGATTTTTTGGGGGAACTGTGGGAAAATCACGTAACCTGACAAAAACAGTTGCGTTGCGGTGGCAACGGTTCATTGGACACGGTTGCGGACGAGGAACAGCGGATCTAGACCACGGAACAGTGGAATAGAAGACGGAAGACAATGGTCTTGAAATCACCCATAACATAACTGGCACTGCGTCTACGTGCGTTGACATGACCAAGAAAACTAGGGTACCTACTGGACTCGAGACCATTGACTTTGTAGACTGCAAGTAGAATTATCTTATTGTATATCTGAAGCTTCTGTTGATTCGTGTCTCGTCCCCATTTAAATTGGTTGCGCTCATGTCGTCGTGCGTTTAGAGCAAATCGTACAATGTGTGCTTTACGTGCGGGTATTACTATTATATGACTGTCAATGACTGCACCGCATGTTACTTTAATAGTTGTTATCCGTCAAACTAGACTCGACATTAACTAGACGAATTGACGAACTTGACGAATTGGTTAATTTCAAAATGTACACGTTTCGTACAAAGATTACGATTTCAAGCATGCACTTTATTTTATCAGTGGTTACGTGGTATAAGTTTGTAGATTAAATTGTATGAAACTATGAACAATTAACACAACTACAGTACATATATCACTATCAAGCCGTTCCAAAAATATTGAAAGTCATTGCCATAATAACCTCCAGCCGCAGCTCGTATCGCCAAACCACAAACCTTCAATCTACCACATGTAAAATCTCAATAGAGACTGGATATTGGGGAACCTATGAGCGACGGCATAAGCACTGCAAATGGGAAACGTAAATCTTTGTGTTTAACGTAGGTTTTTTCCTAATACTGTATTTTAATTTTACAATTATTTTTTTCATGATTTCCTATCACGATTAGTTGTATAAATACGAAGTCATCTTAATCATACTAGTTTGATATTGAAAGAAACCACAATTAGTTAGATAAGTTCATGTATACCAATCTATGAACTTATCTAACTTGATAAAACGGTTAGTCATGTACTGCACTATCACAGCATCCGTAGTGTAAGAACCGGATTATGTTAACAAGAGAAGACCCAAAGCCACCAAATCTGTCAAAGAATGATGGATTTGAGATGAGAGAAACCACTTGTAGTCAACGGAAGATCATGTTACAAGAGAGCTGTATGGACCGCAACAGATCTACTTTCGTATCAAGAAACAAATCTATGGATATTTTGTTTCTGCGATGCTAAACTATTGACAAGTGACGAGTGCAGAATTTCATGTGTCTTTGTTTACGATTTCAGAGGTATTAATATTCTTATTAGACTACAATGTAGTCTAATAAGAATATTAATACCATTAACAAACTTTACAAATGAATGCAAAGTCATGAATTTTCTAAAGGGCTTCTTGACCATGAACTCAACCCCTTGACTAATACGTAATCTTGACCTCTGAAATGGAATACAGTATAAATTAAATCCAAAATTGGATTGTAACCTCACGAACAGATAAGCTAGGCTCTCAACCCCCAAGACACGGGTTGTGGGTTGTTTTGTAGTGTCCTCTTGGACGAGCTCTTTCAAAGCAGACGCCAAAGAAATAAAATAGAGAAGTGGAATCTCGAATAATTAAGGCTGTCAAGCTGTACTTGCGATCAGGTTTTAGCGAATTTCCCTATAGGGAAGTAGCTATTACCGTAGGTCTCATGGTAAGACCTAAGCCCGGGACCGATTTACTTTTTCATTTTGATGTCCCCAGAGGCCAAAAACACCATTCGTTCAAATTTTTATATATCTATATATAGAGATATATATATATATATATATATATATATATGTGTCCATCCGCACGATAACTTGAGTAATTTTTGTCCGATTTTGATAAAATTTGGTTTGAAGGTGTAAGGTGGGATAAACTTGAATGAGTTCGCGAACCAGCACGATCGGACTATGGGAACGGGGGTTTATGGGGGGTTTTATGGGGTAAAAATAGGTTTTTCCCATTTTTGACCCTAAAAACACAAAATTTTACAATTTCTTTTTAAACCATTTTGTAGAGCTTAAAAATACAAATAATTTAGTATATTGAAGCGTTATTATGCGCCTAACTGTTACGGAGAAAATTCAAAAAACGTGTTATTTTAAATTTCCCATGTTATTCTTATGGAGAATAAGTCAACTGTTGTAGTTTGCTTGTTTGTGAACATATTTTGATCAAATTTGGAAAATACCTTAATTTCTTACTAAACCACAGTACCTTTTAATATTTTACATAAAAAATACTTTTTTACCCTCCCTGTTACAGCAAACCTAAGTACTCGTTAAACTAATTCTGTTTTAATAGGGAATAAATGTGATATTTTTAAGGAGACATTTTAGTTTAAATCCAATCAGGCAAATGGAAATTCGCTAAGTCTGCAGGTTTGCTGCGGCGGGGGTATTTTTAATGTTTTTGCTTTTTCCTTCCTACTGTGCGCCAAAAATGGGTTAGTTGTTTCGACTAAATGAACTACATTTTGGGTAGTTACAGGCCGAAATGTTGAACGAATATAACTCAAAACAATGCTGTTCATATTTCAAAATAAATTTTAAGATTTTTCTAAAGTAAATAAGGACCAAATTTACCTATTAAAAGCAATACATATTTTATTATGACAGCCT